CGGGAGGCTGAGGCAGGAGGATCGCTTGAGCCCAGGGGTTTGAGGTTGCTGTGAGCTAGGATGATGCCACGGCACTCTAGCCCAGGCAACACAGTGAGACTCTGTCTCAAAAAAAAAAAAAACAGTCTAAGCGACAGAGCAAGACCCCGTCTCTAAATAAATAAGCGATAAAATTCATTCTTAATATTTGAAAACATTCATTTTCTAAAGTTCACTAAAGCCTATTGATAGTTTTCATCAATAAATACTCTAATGTTTAGTTCTGTGGATATGAAAGAGCTATGATGCTTTAACATCTTTTGTTGACTTTGTCAGTGGGAACGTTTGAAATGCGTCCAAGTACATTAACAAAGCCTTCTTTGTCCCAATGTCTTCTATGTTTATTCCTAGGACCTGAAGGGTATTTACGAACAGACTTACAAGAGCCCTCCCACTTTGATTCTCAACAGCCGGCTATCTTAGAAGAAGAAGAAGTCATGATAGCTCATGCTCATCCACAAGAAGTCTACAATGAATATGTACCCAGAGGGTGCAAGAACAAATGCCATTCACATTTCCATGATACGCTCGGCCAGTCAGACGATCTCATCCACCATCATCATGACTACCATCATATTCTCCATCACCACCACCACCAAAACCACCACCCTCACAGTCACAGTCAGCGCTACTCTCGGGAGGAGCTAAAAGATGCTGGCATTGCCACATTGGCCTGGATGGTGATAATGGGTGATGGCCTGCATAATTTCAGCGATGGCCTAGCAATTGGTATACATCTATATATTTGTTCCTTGTTGGTTGACCCTGAAAATGTCACATGAAACAGCCAGTCAAAATTTTAAAAGAATAGGTTACACCAGCTACACCCAGCTAATTTTTTCTATTTTTGGTAGAGACAGGATCTCACTCTTGCTCAGGCTGATCTCAAACTCCTGACCTCAAGTAATCCTCCCTCCTCAGCCACCCAGAGTGCCAGGATTACAGGTGTGAGCCACTGCACCTGGCCTTCAAATTGTTACTTCTTCTTTTACTACTTTGACAATGAAGTACTTAATAAATATTAAATACAATTAAATGCTAGGAACTGTGCCTAGCCTATTACCTAGGTTGTAACTATCAAAAGTTTTCTTAATTTGCAAGGTTTTAAGATCAGGCTTTAACTTTTATTAAGCATCTGTGAGATTTTTCCTCCCCTATATATCAAAGGTCCCTTATCAATAATATAAATAATTTTTATTAAGGTAAAATGATCTTTTTCATCATCTTTTGTTTTATGCTAAAGAAATCTCCATACATCTGATAAGACCAATTATCAATCTCTATCCAAAGAAGAATTACAGAATTTTTGCTATTGTTGTACCACAATAAGTATTGGGAATACTTATAAATTTTAGTAATTTAGTGCTAGAAGGAACCATGGAAGTAATTACAAATGAGGGAGCTGAGACATGGAAACGTGGAGCCACCTTCCACCTTGGCAGTGCTGTTTTATAGCCAGGCTGAAAGGAGCTCCAGCCTTGGCTCCCTGAGAGTCAGATGCTCTTCCTCCTATATTGTGCGCAGCATAAGCATTCAAAGGAGGAATGTCCAAATGCACAGTCGTGGTTTATAATCAACTGATTGTATAATGCGTTAGCTTTTTAAAAGGGGAGGAGCTATTTATAGTCTCCTTATAAGATAGAGAATGAATGTAAACAAGTCTAATTACATAGTGAATTCCTCCTAGACAAGTGAAACATATTTATACTCTAGACAGCTGAATTTTTTTCTAAATCTTTTAAACAGTTACTTTATTTTCTTGAATAAGTGTTTTATATGGTAGCAGTTACTTCCCAGATTTGTATAAGATCATCTACTCACTCTAAGGCATACCTGCTTGTGCTCCTTTGGGAAATTTAGACCTAATCAAGTGTAATCTAAGATTTCTTACAAAAAAGATACAGAGTTGCATTGGGAAAATTCTGTACATTCACAGCCAAAATATAGTTTATTCCTTCTAACTCATTTTGTATGCTAATAAGATTTAAAAATACACAAAATAATGTAGCCAAATATTTCTGATTGATTTTTACACAGGTGCTGCTTTTACTGAAGGTTTATCAAGTGGTTTAAGTACTTCTGTTGCTGTGTTTTGTCACGAGTTGCCTCATGAATTAGGTAAAAGAAATACATAAAATGTATTTGCCAGGTGGGGGGAACATCCTAGTGTCACTGGCTTTTGCTAATAATAGTTCCAGCAAGCGTCTTCATAACTTCCATGCCTTGTCGTAAGTCTGCTAACCTAGCTGGCTTTCTTTTCTTACTGAGCACAAGTTTGTTTCCAGCTAGAATTCTGACCCCACAGATATGAGTACACAGTTCCCTATGTGGGGTTGCCAAAGAGGTACCTGGGGCCACTGTGTCACCTTCTTTCCCCTACCAAGTATCTTTCTATGCCAGCATACTGGTGACATGAGTGATCATCTTCACATACACATTGCAGATAAGACTGTAGGAAACAAAGGAATCATCTTCCATTAACAGAAAGAAGTTAGGAAAAAAATCTCACTGGAGCTGAAGAAAAGGGAAGTTGATTAATTGTGTTTTGAATATTGTTCTTCTTTGTCACTAGGACTTAAAACCTTCCCGAATTGTCCTGGATACCAGTTCACATCCTTGTTTTTCTTCTTATGGAGACCTATTCACACACCAATTCTCACCCAACACCATTCTCACTTCTATTATTTGCCAGGTGTTCAGCCATTCAGAAGGCCTCCCATTTGCCTCCTCAATGGTTCTCATCCTCACCATGTAATTTACGTTCCCCATTCCAGATTTTTCATGCCACTTGAAGCCTCTCTCAACTATTTCCATCTTCATGTATCTCTTTTCTTCTCTTATAACTGTAACATTAGACTCATTAGCTCTCAATTCTATATTGCCTTTTAATTTACTCGTCATTTCATGTGTGTTCTCCACCTTCTTCTCCCTTCTTTGTGACCAGTTATAAGCTCCTTGAAGCCAGTGCAAGAGCACAATAGTAAATTTGGGGTATTTATAATTCATTGACAAAGTGTGTAAGCCTTAAGAAAACTTTGGCTAAAGGATACCTTAGTTTATAGAGCTGTTAGAGTACTTTACTGATTAACACTGCTTTAGCCCTGGGCCCTGGGTAATTCTTAATTTTGCTTTTTTTTTCCTCTCTCAAAAAAAATTGGAGAATTTTCTTAAAACTTAGAATTCTCTTGGGTATGTGTCTTAAAACTGATTTTTCAATTAATTACTTTTTCCTCCTCTTTTGTTTTTTGTTAAAGGTGACTTTGCCGTTTTACTAAAGGCTGGCATGACTGTTAAACAGGCTGTCCTTTATAATGCTTTGTCAGCCATGCTGGCATATCTAGGAATGGCAACAGGCATCTTCATTGGTCATTATGCTGAAAATGTTTCCATGTGGATATTTGCACTTACTGCTGGCTTATTCATGTATGTTGCTCTGGTTGATATGGTAAGTTTTTAAAAAGTCAAATTACATTATTGGCTAATAATAAAATAGAGAAAACATTCAGTAAAACCTCATTTTAAAAAAAGGTTTTAGATTAAATGCGGTAGTGATGAGATGTGATTCTGTATTCCAAAAGGTGGTGTGTAAGGTACACAGTTCCCTATGTGCAGTCCTTTAAGAGTATACTTTTTTGGATTGTTAATTACAAGCACACCTTTATCCTGCCTAATGTGTATCAGGATGCACAAATATATCTTACCCCTTCCGATGTACCTCTTTATTTTTATTTATTTATTTTTTAATAATTTCCTGATCCATAGGAACTGTGAGATGACGTATCTTTCTAGAGAAGAATCTCAGTAGTCATACATTGAATAGTCTATAGATCTGTAGAAAACCTAGCACAGGCTACATATTGTTGGCATGCTGTGTACTTCAGAATGCTTAGAATTTCCTTATTAATCAACAAAGGAGTCATAGCTTTTTATCACCAAAGTCCTCAAAACAATCCCAGCCGATCTTACGGCTAAAAGTATATTTTATAGTATAAGGTTTTCTATGTCTGAACTGAAAGTGAGCCACATGTTATATTCAGTTCAGTTATGCCGGCAGTGACTAAAGCAGGAAAATCAGTATAACTTTTCATTTAACAATGGAACAAACTGAACCACTACAAATTTTTTATCGCTCAGAACATCATGAATAATCATTGTTCATTAAACTGCTAGGAAATTCTGTGTGATATTATTAGGTAGAGTCAGTTTGTACGTGTCATGTTTTTAAGGAATTGACCCATAGTATACCCAGCTACCTAATAAGATAGTATACTGTCCTACAAATTCTTCTAAAAACTAATATAATTCTGAAAACTTAAATGTTACTCTCTCCCCTCCCCTGCCTCTTTTTTTCTTTAAGGTACCTGAAATGCTGCACAATGATGCTAGTGACCATGGATGTAGCCGCTGGGGATATTTCTTTTTACAGAATGCTGGGATACTTTTGGGTTTTGGAATTATGTTACTTATTTCCGTATTTGAACATAAAATTGTGTTTCGTATAAATTTCTAGTTAGGGTATAAATGCTAGAGTAGCTTAAAAAATTGTTGTCATAGTTTCAGTAGGTCATAGGGAGATGAGTTTGTATGCTGTGATATGCAGCATTTAAAGTTAGTGGATTTTGTGATTTTTGTATTGAATATTGCCATCTGTTATAAAGTCAATTGTGGTAACATAAAGGTACGTTTTAATATTTAAGTTATTGTATTTTGGAAATATAAGCTATATGTGCAATTCACCATTACCAATCTGTTGTATAAACAAGGGATTTGGCATGACATGTTCTGTATATTTCAGGAAAAATGTCCTTAAAACCTTTTCTGGAACTAATTTAACACAGTAATTCTCATGCTAGACTTTAGGCTGCTGAAGAACTGCTGGTGTTTAGGAGTAAGAATGTGCATGAAGCCTAAGATACCAATAAAGCTTGTACTGAATTTAAGCTAAGAAATAAGGAAGAAAACAGAAGAATCTGAGCATTGAGGAGATAGAGATTTCTTATAAAATCACAAAGTTTGTTATAAATTAGAGGAGGGAAATTTAGATTTAAATTTAAAAAGGCAGATTTAGTATAGAGTACATTCAGAAACATTTCTTGTCAGAGTATTAATGTTCTTGTAAAAACACAGCACTTGTCATATACTAATTTAGTTGTACATTTAGCTTTGTATAATACATAAGTCTAAATATATTTAATGAATTCAAACAATATATCACTTGACCAAGAAATTGGAATTTTTAAATATTTGTGCGGAGATACACCAGATGAGTATAGTGAGTAATTTTATGTATCACCAGAAGACTTGGTTATTGCCAAGCTATGAATCACCAGAAGTTATATGAGTGGATGTTCTGGTTATCTGGTTTGCCAAATGTCAAGAGTACTACAACTTCGATATATGTGAAGATGTGAAAACCATACTGAGTGTAATTTGACTTCTTAGATTCAGAAAGTACTGTGGTATCTTTCAGTGCTCCAGTGTTGTCGTTGTGAGCAGTTGTCATTTTATATACGGTACTGTAGACGTACTAGGTCTATCTGTGACATTCTCTAGATGTTTCTTTTTTACAGAATAAATTCCTCTTGTCAGCTCAATGTCAGATGTCTGATTTTCTTTTTTTAAGTGTAGAGTTCAGTAGTTTTAAGTATATTCACAATGTTGTGCAATGATCTCCAGAACTTTTTCATCTTGGAAAACTGAAATTCTGTACCCATTAAACAACTCCCCATTTCCCCTGAGCCCCTGGGAACTACCATTCTACTTTGTGTTTCTATAAAATCGAGGTGTCTGATTTTTAAAATTACAATCCAGATTATAGTATACTAATCAGTTTAGTTATATTTATTGAGTAGGCTTATTCAATTTTAAAACTCTTTATTACAAAGGGCACTTCAAAAAATATTGGTCCGCAGTTTGTTCCTAGCTGTCCTTAACTTTTGTTTTTAAACAACCATGGACTAAAGCTGGAGAAGAAGCATTAATACTCTAAATTCTAAGAGAATCAGTGTTTTGATTTAGGATCTTTAAGATGGAGAGCACCTCTTCGATGATTAAGAGAGACACAAGATGGAAGTAAAATATTTTATTATTAATACTTACAGGCCTAGGGGGGTGGTACACAGCACATCTGGAGGTTACAGACGCAGAAGTCAGGGAACACACGCAGAGAGAGAGGGAGGCACCTGTGATCCAGTGCCTTTATTGGGTCTAGGGTGTTATCCACACAGATTTCCCACAGGGAGTTTTCATTAATTGGTTTAAAGCAAGGAGGCACGAGTTCCAAGAGACTGAGAGGCAGTGGCATGTCTGCATAGTTAATGTGGGGTGTGAGTGTCAGCCAGGCCGGTCATGCAGGCTGCATCTAGCTGTCCCATAGTGAAGGGAGCAGTTTTGTAAGTAGATTCTAGCGATTGTAAAAGCAACCTATGTATTTGAGAACTTTGATATGGATTAATTTTGAGGGAAGATACAAAATGTTCACTCAATAAAAACCAATAACTTAAAATGATCACCATATCCAAATTCTCCCATCCCCCAACACAAGGCCCAGTTTACTGTTTTGCCAAAACTTCAAGACAAAAATCCCTAGTTTATCCAAATAGTTTCTAATATTAAAAAGGGAAAGTTCATAATGTTAATTAGTCTGGTGTAACCTTGATACCAAAACCATGTTGGGAAAGGCAATTTGCTTTGGACCCTAAGAGTCCCTGCACATTCTTGCTAGATTTGTCAAGGACCATTCTTTCCCTGGGCTCTTTATCAGTGAGCAAGCCCTTGTATAAAAGAGGTAGATTCACCAGGCCCAGTGTTTCTCAACTGCTACATAAACTCACTGCATGTGCAGCACCTACCTAGAACTTTTCACTTTGCTCCTGTGGGACTTGGGGGTCAAGGGGACCTGATGCAAATGATGTTTATGCTGTGAGCAATAAAGTCCTTTGTGACCCAGGAGTCTCATGTCTTCCGCCAGCATCCAAGAAACAGTAACAAACTAACCTGCAGTTTACAAATTGGATACAATCCTAGAGCCTGGCAAAACCTCACAGGATATTATAGGAAAAGCAGAAATTGATGTAGATAAAAAAATCTTAAATAAGGTCAGGTGCGGTGGCTCATGCCTGTAAACCCAGCACTTTGGGAGACTAAGGCAGGAGGATCATTTGAGGCCAGAAGTTGGAGACCAGCCTGGGCAATATAGAGAGATCCCCATCCCTACAAAAAAATTTAAAAATTAGGCATAGTGGCATGTGCCTATAGTCCTAGCTACTGGAGAGGCTGAGGCAGGAGGATTGCTCAAGCCCAGGAGTTCGAGCCTGCAGTGAACTATGATCGTTTCACTACACTCCAGCCTGGGGAATGACAAAGCAAGACCCTGTCTCTAAATAAATAAATAACATATTTGGAATGAAAAAACATTTTAGCATACTAAATATAGAAAGTTTTTTGAATTCAGGAAACCTATTAGAAACTTGCCTCCTTCCTGAATACTCTCATGCTATGAAGTGGAGGGTTTAAGAAAGAGCAGCAGAGGAGGGGAAGGGAAAGAAACAGAGAGGGAGGGACTGTTGGTAGACTAGAAAGAAAAAAACCACAACTCCTGAATGGAGCTTGACTCTCCCAACTTGTCTGCTTACATATAAAAAATACTATGAAAATTAAAGGAGGTAGCAAGTTGCCACAATTCCATAGCTGTCCCCATAAGCACTGTGTCACTGATGGCTTGAAAAGATTTTTTTCCTTTTTAAAAACTGTGATAAAATACACATAACATAAAATTCACCATTTTAACCATTTTTTAAGTGGTTAAATGCCATGTCAGTGGCATTAAGTACCTTTCACCCTGTTATGCAATCATCACCCATCTTCAGAACTTTGTACCCATTAAACAATAATTCCCAATCTTCCTGCCCCAGCCCCTGGTGACCACTGTCCTACTTACAATTTCTGTGTATTTGACTATTCTAGGTAGGCCAAATATGTGGAATCTTAATATATTTCTGCTTTTCTGTCTGGCTTATTTCACTGAGCATAATGTCCTCAAGGTCCATCTATGTTGTATGTGTCAGAATTTTATTCCTTTTTAAGGCTGAATAATATCCCATTATGTTATAGTCCCCCAAAATGGCAACACTTAGGTATAATTCTAACAAAACATGTACATGATATTTATACTGAAAACTACAAAATGCTGTTTTTGAAAAAGGAATATTGAATGAGAGATATACCATATTCATAGATTGGAAAACTAAACATAGTAAATGTGTCCATTTCAATAAAAATCTTAGCAGGATATTTTTAGATATTGACAAGCCGAATCTTAAATTTATATAGAAAGGCAAAGGGGCTAGAATAACCAGAACAATTTTAAATAAGAATAAAGTTGATAGAATCATATTATCTGACTTTAAGACTTACTATAAACCTGCTCTATAATTATGACTCTGTTGTAGTTACCAAGGGATAAACACATAGATGAGTGGAATAGAAAAGAGAGTCCAGAAATAGACTTACACAAACATAGCCAATTTATTTTTGACAAGGCTGAAAAAGTAATTCAGTGAAGTAACAGTAGTCTTTACAAAAAAATAGTGTTGGAACAATTGAACATTGTGAGCAAAAAAAAAAAAAAAATCTTCCTAAACTTTATGCTTGTACTAAAATTTATGGACCATAGAAATAAATATAAAACCATAAAACATTTAGAAGAAAACTCAGGACAAAATCTTCCTGACCCAGAGTTAGGCAAAACGTGAACCAAAAGCATAATCCATAAAAGAAAAAATTGATAATTTGACTCATCGAAATTGAAAATTTTCGTTCTGTGAGAGTACAAAAGAGAAGCTGCAAACTGAGAGAAAAATATTTGTAAATCACATATCCAACAAAGCACTTGTATCCAGAATATATATATAAAAAAAACCCTCTCATAATACAACAGTGAGAAAACAACCAACCTAGTTCTTTAAAAATGGGCAAAAGACTTGAACAGATATATCACCAAAAAGAATATATGGTGACACAGGAAAAGATATTCAATATCATCGATCAGTAAGGAAATGCAAATTGAAACCATGATGAGATGTCACTACTCACCTCCTGGAATGGCTCAAATAAAAAATTCTGACAACATCAATTACTGGCAAGGATGTGGAGCAACTGAATTTCACATATTGCTGGTGGGTGTACAAAATGGTACAGCCCCTGTGGAAAACAATTTGGTAATTTCTGTCTCTCTCTCTTTTTTTTTTTTTTTACATGCACCTTTGTGGAATGAAAGCATTATATGCTACATGCTTTTTATTTGTTTTTTGGCGTTTTTTGTTTGTTTGTTTTTGAGACAGGGTCTCGGTCTGTCACCCAGGCTGGAGTGCTGTGGCCTCATCATAGCTCACTGCAACCTCAAACTGCCTGCTCAAGCAATCCCCCTGCCTCAGCCTCCTGAGTCTCTGGGGCTACAGGCACACATCATGACGCCTGGCTAATTTTTCTATTTTTTGTAGAGACGGGGTCTCACTCTTGCTCAGGCTGTTCTCCTGGCCTCAAACAATCCTCCCACCTCGACCTACCAAAGCGCTAGAATTTACAGGCATGAGCCACTGTGCCTGGCCTGGTAATTTCTTACAAAGGTAAACATACACCTACGTTATGCCCCAGCAATCACTGTCCTATGTATTTACCCTAGAATAATTAAAACTTAACATTTACACAAAACTTGTATAGTGGTTCTATTCACAAACTGGAAACCACCCAAATGTCCTTCAATAGTTGATTGGATAAAAAATACTGTGGTATATTTGTGTAATGCAATACTACTCAGTATTAAAAAGAGTGAATTATTGATACAGGCAACTTCCACGAATATCAAAGGCATGTACTAAGTGAAAGAAGACAGACTCACAAGGTTACATTATTAGATGTTTCCATCTATATGATATTCTGGAAAAGATAACATGATAATGAGAACAGATCAGTGGTTTCCTGGGGTTAATGTTCGGGAGGGTGTGACTATAACGTGGCAGCACAAGAAGTTTTGGGGGAGGGTAATGGAACCATTCTGTATCCTGATTTTATTGCTGGTTACACAAATATATACATGTATTAAAACTCATAGAACTCTACTGTAAAGGAAAAAAAGTAAATTTTCCTGATAAACATTTTTTTTTCTAAATAAGATTGAAGTGAATTTGTAAATCTTGAATTAATTATACAACTTACAATATCCGGTTATGGGTATGTACTTATAGAATTTTTGAAGAATATACAG